ATGATCTAAGCCTCAAGAAGAAGCCAAGAGAGGGCAGAGGTATTGTTGTTTGAATAACTCTTGACTTCAGCCGATCTGTACGGTCCACTGGGAAAGGATTTGGATAATTTCAGATCAAACTATTTCAAAAGTCAAAGAAATAAACACAAATTATGCTTTTATTTAAGGTAAACGTCTAGCTAAACCAACCCGTAAACCCACAGAGTGTCCATCATTACAATAACTGAAGGGATCTGGACCCATCCTTCTCTGCAATGAACATTGTAGTTCTAATTAAGTCTTATTTTCCTTAAAGTCATGAGGTTCTGAAACATCAGACAGTATTATTAGTACGCTAGGCATCAGGAACATCCATTGTCCCTAAAAGGATTGGGATGAAGGTCTGTTAAACATAAGCTCTGTTTGTACACCTTGAAGCTTTCTCTCTCCGGTTCCTGAAAAGATATCACTTTGGACAAACTCTTTAAATAACACTTCATAACGTAAATGTTATGTTGTTGCTCTGATATAATCGGCTGTTTGATCTGAAACATTTCAGTGCAATAAAAACTCCCAACAGTCTGAAATAATCCAGCAATGAGCATCTTCTGCCCCAAAGCAGCCAATATTTAGCTAACATATCTCTGGCTTTCAGCAGGTAACACCACTTATCTTTGGGAGTTCCTGTTGGACCTCCTCCAGGATAAAAACACTTGTCCCAGGTACATCAAGTGGACCCAGAGGGAAAAGGGCATCTTCAAGCTGGTCGACTCCAAGGCTGTATCCAAGCTCTGGGGAAGACACAAGAATAAACCAGACATGAACTATGAGACCATGGGGCGGGCGCTCAGGTGACCACTTAAGGCTGATTTAAACTTTAAAAGCTTTTTATATATATATATATATATATATATATATGTTTTGCCCTCAAAGGTCTTAAATCTTCCAAATTTCTCTGATCTTTCAGGTATTACTACCAACGAGGAATCCTTGCCAAAGTGGAGGGTCAGCGGCTAGTTTACCAATTTAAGGAGATGCCCAAAAACATCGTCATCATTGACGAGGACAAGGCAGATATGTCCTCCACCGGCGAGCACATGAGCTCAGAGTCTCAGCCGTCCTACGGACGGGTGCCTCCGCCTTCAGACAAACTGCTTCAGAACTCCAACCTGCCGTCCCCCAGGAGGCCCAACATCCTGCGGGGCTCCAGCAGACCCGTTTTAGTCCCCAGTCCTTCCACCACAGTTAGCGGAGCAGCGGGGGTGGGGGCGGCACCGCGGATAGTGACGGTTTCAGCAGCACCTGAAGTGAACCAGATCCCAAACACCACAGCGCCGAGGTAGAGACTGCTGCTAGGACGCCGGAGCTTTCTGTGAGGTCATGGATAATGCAAAGATTCCTGACGCTGCTCTCGTTCTCTCTCTGTCCTGCTAACAGGACGGTGCGGGTGGCCATGCAGGTGCCGATGGTGATGACGTCTCTGGGTCAGAAGATTCCCACAATGGCTATGCAGCAGCCAGCAGGGACGACGGTGGCCGCTGGGTCCACCACCCTCCTCACTAACGCCTCTCCTATCACTGCTGCTGCTAATCCTAACTCTCAACAGAAGGTGTGTAGAAAACCCCAACCACGCTGTAAAGAAAAATTTCAATCTAAAATAAGTGCCTTTTTTTCTTGAATTGAGGTAAATGAGATACTTTGCCAATGGAATAAGACAATTTACATTTAAAACAAGAAACAAAATAATTACATTTTCTTATTATAAGTGCATATTATGGAAATTTTTTGTTTTAAGATTAAAACATACTGATTCCAATCTTATCACATACTCAAATTAATGCTAAATACACTCAGTTGAATACATTTTTACTTATTTCTATATGGTTTTTGCAATGTAGAGCAGGATAAAACTTTCCCATCGTTTCTTTTCTAACACATATTAATATGTGATCTAACTTGGTTTTTTGTTTGTCAAATATAAACAATGACATCGGATTTTGATTTTATTAAACAACAATCTTGGTTGCATTTATCAACCTCTGTGTTTAGTTGGAATTATAAATGTTTTTTTCTTTTCCAGTCGGAATGAAAATCACTTAAAAAGGAAATGAATTGGGGAATCATGACGTTTTAATGTAGTCTTGTTTTTAAACTCTTGTTTAAAAGAAAAAGTTTTTTCTTTTTAAGGTTGTCATCCAGACTATACCGACCATGGTTCCAGCCACAGCAGAGAACGGCGATAAGATCACCGTCCAGCTTGCCAAGATCATCACCATCCCAGCTCACCAGTTAGCCCAGTGTCAACTCCAGACCTCCACAGGCACCAACAAAAGCAACGCAGCCGCCTCCCAGACAGGCATCAGTCTCCTGGGAAGCCCCCTGACGGTGCGAGCCCTCGCCCCTGTCAACGTCGCCCCGGGGGCGCAGGTAATGAGACTCAACGTGCCGACGCAGTCACAACCTCAGACTTTGATGGTGTCGCAGCCAGGAAGCGTCAGCTGCGGACAGACGGTCACTCAGACGGCGGCGCAGCCGCGCATCATCGGCGGCGTCATCAACGGCTCGGATCTGGTGATAGGCGGAGCAGGGGGGGTTACGATGGAGAAGCTGAAGGCTGCAGGAGTGCAGGTCCAGGCTGTGCAGGTTCCTCTGACGGTTCAAGTGAACCCAAAGATGAACGTCCAATCAGAGGCCACAGAAACTGTTAGAAAACTGGAAGCTCCACGAGCGATAAAGACAGAGGAGCCTGAGTGTTAAGGAACGAACAGCTTTCCTTTCCTTTTCTCGCTGCCTAACAAAGTTAGTTTGTACATTTCTGAAGTTTTTTTTTTAACTTGTAATAACCAGCAACAGACTTTTAAGGACAAATCTTTCTAACGTCCTGGATGAAGCTGCTCGGTTTCCCTCAGAATGGCAGTAGAACCCGTTCAGGCGGCGTTCAAGTAGCCCAGCACGGAGTGGACAGATTTCGGTTGGAAGAATCAACGGGACCAACTCTGATCACTACATGAACCGATCATTCACACCGAGTCCGATTGAGGAGAAACACGAAACCACAACACTAAAAAAGACTTAAAAAACCAAAAATCCCCCCAAAAAAATTTTGTTGTTTTTTTCAAACTTGTATCACTGTGTGAAGAAAGCATGAGTGGCGTTAAGAGAGGAACGAGCTGTGGGTCATTATAAGGAACGATATCAGTCCTGCTTGTACATATTTATATGCATATAAATATATCTTCACAGTTTACAGAGCTAATGGCAACAGAGGAGCCTTAGGTTTTCATTTGAAATGTTTAACTGCCTAATAGTAAGCTGATTTTTTTTGTTTTTTATACTTTGTACCATGCACAGTATTATTGAAACTGAACTGTTGGACTTATTTTTTTGTCTGGCTGTTGATGCTGGATTGGATTTACACTCGTCGGCATGTTGCTTGCAGCGTGTCCTTCAGCGTGGTTTAACCTCCTGATAAATGGTTTTAGATGATGGGTTTGCTCATGCATATGCATTCAAGGAATAACGAATCTGAGCCAAGGCATGCTGCCAAATCTCCAGTCTCTAGAACCCGCATCAATTACTCCTAAAGGCATTTAATTACACAGAAAAGCTGCAAAGAAGATGCACTTCTAACCAATGTGGATTCCCTGATTGCTTAGAGGGTCAACATGTCAGCCTGCTGTGCTGATCCTGCCCAGACATTTCAACAGTTGTTTTTTAAAGAGGGAAGATTGTCAGTGTTCAGACTGAACTGTTTGTATATTCAACATTTGAAGCATATTCTATTTTGTTGTACTCTTGTTTCAAAGTGTATTAAAGTAGATTTTACTGAAATACACAGAAAACTTGGCATATTTCATTATTTCCTGATTTGTTTTGTGGTTCTTAAAATTCAGCACCTTTACCTTCTTGCATGTGTGAACCTCCCCTTTATATCATTTTATCGGAACATAGTCCGGGGGAAAAAACACAGAAACCCTGTTTAAATATTTTTAGTTAAGATTCTAAACAATGTTCAGACATCTGTCCACATTCTGACTTCCTGGTATACACCAGCCATTCAGTTTCAGTTTGGTTTTATTGACATTCCTTATGAGGTGTCAAACTATATGAGAAAGGAGTTGCTTTAAAATGGGTTGTACATCTAGAACCATTAACATCTATTTGCCGTGGCAGGGTCTAAAGCCCTGCGACAACTCCATAGTGACACCAACCAATTATATCACTAAAAGTGTAAGGATACATCATCTATGGGAAACCAAGCACCTTGGCATCAACCAACTCCAACATCATGTCAGCTTGGTGCTGCTGTATATTTATACAATCTTAACCTACAGATCATTGAGGGTCATTCCTTTCATACTTATTTAAATTATGGCAAACTTTTTGCTGCACAATCCAGAATGGAAATAAATGTCAAATGGAGCATAAATATTTGTCATTACTGTTAGATGGAGATGCTTTTTAGACCTTTTATCCATTAAAAACAGTGAAGTCTTCAGCTTTCTTGCTGCATTTCTTCATAATGCTACAAAGTATTAGCATGCTAACAGACCTCTGATGTCTAAAGGAGGGGTCTTCAACGTTTTCCAGGCAAAGGACCCCCCAAACTGATGGCGAGATGGAGCAGGGACCCCCTAACTATAAATATATTGTATGAAATTGTGTCATATCAAACTGGTCCTATAGTCACTCGATTACAGATGATGTAACGAACATACTTCCTCCCTTGGATTATTACTATTTCTTATTCTGATTCCTGGTTGATGGGACAGGTGTTGTGAATGAAACGGTGCCCAGCTTGAAAGAGCTCCAATGTGTCGCTGAATGTGTGCATTGATGACTGAAAGACATCTTCTGCCTCCATTTATTTGTTTACTACAGTGTGTTGACTTCATGTTAATGTGTATTTGAAGACATTTCAATTAGTAGAAAAAATGCAAGGGAATAAAAAAAAAAGTGATCAACCAAAACTTTCATGACCCTAGCAGACATAAAAGTCATCTTTTTCACAAGGAAATGCTTATAAAAAGGTTGAATTAAAAAAACAAATAGGGCAAATCCATTTTTAATTTCATTCAATATTATATGATGGCAGTATGAAACAGTATTATTTTTACAGTCTGATTTTAGTATAAAAAGTTCATCAAGGAGCAGCTTGATTGAAGATGATGGTACGAGACGGTAAAGCTGGTGCTGAAACCCGACTTCATGAAGGAAGACTTCAGCGGCGCGTTCTCTTCAACACTTTAAAAACATCTCAGTCACTCCACACTGGTTTCCAAGCCTCATGTCTTCACATCTTCACTCACGTGAAGCTCTCTGTGGAGTGAAGCAGGGAGGGAGTTCACCTCAACTCCAAGGCATCAACGCTTCCCATCGAGCGCTCTCCTTCTCATTCCTTCTCCCTGAAGCTGAAATCACAGACCAAAGAGAGGTGGTCTGATGGATAGCTGTAGGATGGAAGCCTGTCGGGTCCGATTTGCTCCTCATCCGGCATGTCCAACACCGCGTCCACCCTCAGCGTGTCCTTAGTGTACCAGATGTAGTCCAGAGTGGAGCAGCACTCGCCTGTGCCTCGGATCTTCCACGTTGTGTACTCCGGCTCGCTTACACCATCCTGACTGAGCTTCTTATAGGCAGAGTCCAAACCTAGAGGAGAAGTGGCAAACCGTCGGTACACCTCCTCTGATGGGACGGCGTTGAAATCGCCACAAATCAGCAGAGGTACTTCGATGTTAGAGTTGTCGCCGCTCAGCTCTCGGATCAGATTCTGGACATGCCAGAGGAGATCTGACCCCTGAGCGCTGCGAAGCCACTCCCAGCCTGAACGGGCCTTAAGGTGGGTCGCAACCACGCACAGATACCTTCCAGTGCTCCGACAGCGCAGAGTTGTCACCACGGCAACCTAGGAAGAGAGTGGAACATGTTAACGGAGGTCTTAATTCTTCCTTTAGCAAAAGAAAGAAATGTTACCTACTTGATTAGTGGGGATCATCATGGCTGAGAGTCGGATGTCGACGCTGTCCAGTAGCTCGAAGCGGGATTCGTCGAAGAAGAGGGCGCAGCCATCAGGACCGCTGTTACCCTCAACATCCAGGCACGGAGACCAGGGTTTGGGACAGAAATGGCTGCTGTAGCCCAGGCTGGCCAAAACTGGCTGGAAGGTGTCATAGTAGTGGTCTACTTCCTGCAGGCAAAGGATGTGAGGTCGGTATGCTAAGATCTCGCCCAGGATGAGGTTCTTCCTACGCGACCAGCTGAGGGCCTCCAGGGGACACCGGACGAAATTATCCACTCCTACGCCCAGAGCTGAGGGTCAAAGGAAGGAGCGGCGTTAGAGAGAGAGGGATGAAACTTTTAATAAAAATCAGAGATATTGCACAAATTAAAAACAAGAATAGGAAGGTTAACTTAAAATTGATGGAAAGGGAAACACTTAAGAGACAAAAATACACATGCATGCTTTTTGGTGTTTTTTAATGACAGTAAACCAGAAACTCCTTTTATTTCGTAAATGAACCTGTCTGTTGCATAAAGTAGTTTACAAATGTGCCTACCTTGGGCTAAGATGTTCCACTGCATCACCCTGATGGGGCTGCCGACTGCGCCGTCTCCATCGCTGACGTAGACAAAGTTCCTGTGCAGCCGAGGAGGCTGGTCCCTGAGGGCCTCCTCACACTGCCGGAGCAGCTCCGATGGATCAAGGGGGCATAAGGCGGAGTCCTTCTGCTGCTCCCGGGAACACACCACACATGGCCTTCAGTTTTATGGTTAAAATGACTACAGCCAGGTGAAAGTCAAGAAGGTGTGCTCACCAGGCAGAAATCTGAATCCAGGTTTGGAAGCTGGGGCTGGTGGGGGCTCAGGTAAGAGCTGCTGCCGCTGAACGTCTGGGTCAGGGTGCTGTACAGCCTGGTGGCTCCTCCACCCATCGGACAAACTAGTGGAGAGAGAAAGCCCCCCCATGATTACCATCGGAGAAAGTTTACCCTTCAAAAAGACAGCTGGAGTCAACCTGGAAACATAAAAACCTCCACATTATTCTTAGTTCTGAGCCTTCAAAGCATCACAGCTATATATATATATATATATATATATATATATATATATATATATATATATATATATATATATATATATTCCTGTCGATTTCCGCAAGCTTTGGTGCCTTAACTACAATTTAATACAATCTGAGGTTTTAGTTTCGTTTTACAATCTTTGTGTCTGTATTTAAAATAGATGAAATGCTGAGTTCTCTGAATAGAAGGAACAGACACCACTGGCAAAGATTAAAATAAGAATGTAATTAACAGAAAAAAGAGACATGTGACACAAAATCATGCAAATAACAAATAATATTTTAATTGAGAGTAAAATTTTAAATATAATTTTAAATCTAGAAAATTGTCTTACAGTTTTCAAGTCTTTGTTAATCACAGCTTCAAATTCTAAATGGAAAAAAACCCTGAACGTTTTAATTACAGTAAAGTCATTCGGAAAAAACAGGAAGCATCTAATGCACGCTAATTGTCGCCCACGATCCCTCCACACCCACGTTTGGAGTTCTGGACTAAAGAGAAACAAAAAAAAATCATGTGTAGGATGTAAAAACAGCCATGTTTCATTTTGGTTTTTAACTGTTTAACCTGGTTTAATAAAACCTAAAAGAAAAGGCACATGGTGAGAGAAGTCTTATCTGCGATCAGAGTGTGAGCGGATGTAAACGAATGGCTAAAAATGTCAAAATTAACAAACACAAGTAGTTTGTCGGTCTGTTTACAGCAGTGTAGATTCCTCAGCCCTTCAAGGTTACTGGGTGACATTCCGGTCAGTCCTTGGTATTCACGTGAATCTTAAAAAAAAATAAATATTTCAAGAGCAACATCCTGTGTTGACAGCCCTGTAAGTGTCAAAAGATTAATCCCCATTTAGAGGTTTGGTCCCTCCCAGGAGATGCCTTTCATCTGCTTCAGACGTTTGTTTTTGGAGACTTTGCATTAACTAGCTGCATGTCTTTGGATCGATTTCTACATTGCTGAAAAATTCTGTCTGCATCTTTTTTTTTTTGCAGTCTAACCAATGAAAAAGCTCAGTTTTTCTCTTTGTTGTTTTCCACAGCCTAAAGTATCAGCTTTATTTTTTTCATAAATAAAGATTTAATAAGTTATTTACTGCAGTGACAATGAGATCGGACTCCATCTGTATCCTGATTCAGGGGTCTAGTTAGAGCTAAAGTTCAGGCGGGACTCTGTACGTCTGCATGGCTTGTTCACTTAAAAAAAAAAAAAAAAAAAAAATAACCTAAAGCAATAGAATCAATAAATGTAAGACTGATGAAGTGTTTATAAAACTCATCCACAGATTGAGTCCAACTGGACTTTACTGGTAGAATTCCAGTTGTTTGGAGATGGATGGAAAATTTCTCACAGTTTTCTTCCAGCTTATCAGTTTCCACAGAGAATGAATGCAAACCTTGCAGGGGAATTAATTCTTCCATTCATGGTCAAATCTATAATCCTGTGGCTGCAGCACAGATTCAGTCCATCAACATTTAAAGCCACATTTTTCCTTTCCATCTCAGTTCATGACTTCATTGAATAAAACACATTTCTCCAGGCATAAAAGATATTCCAGTTGATTAGAATCAGCCTGATCAGATGTTTTTTTTTTTGTTGTTGTTGCTCTATTTAACTTGAAAGTCCTCATCAGCTGTGCCTTAGAGAATAAAACTCCCGTACATTGGCTCAGCAAAACGGCTATGTCTTCATCCGCTGAAATATTTCCACCTACAAAATAAAACTCACCTAACGTCTCCATTGCCGCCTTCAGTTGCAGGACTTCACTAGAATGTTGTCTGCCTCTCCTCTCGGTGCTACCGTCCTCCTCACTGACCTGTTTGCTGTCAGCAGAGAGCCTGATGTGTCTGTCTGGCCCTCCTGCTCCCGCCTTTAAAGCCTCCACCTCAGGAAGCCGGCGTCACCAGTGGCCTTTTAGGGAGGTTACATGCTGCGGGGCTGGTTCAGTGTGTTACTGTGTTGTTGTGAATCAGCACCGTGCTGCATAACTGCATAACAGCGTCTGCACAGGTGCACCAAACGTGCAGGGCTTCTTCGCCGACTCCCACTTTCTTTGTGGCAACATGGCTCACATAACTCCAAAAAACAAGTTTACCTCTGTGGCACAGACTGGTTTTTTCCACGTTGAATGTTGTACTTTTCCACACCGATTCACAGAGATTTCGTCGAATTGCTTAAAAAAGGCTGGAAAAGTAGGAACTTTGAATTTAACCCAGCTGCGTAATGAAACAATTATTAAAAAAGATCCCCAATGTGTTGCATTGACAAAAGAGACTGTTTCTACACGGCTGAATCATCTGCAACAGTGTTGTGTTTTGCTTCTGTTGGCCCATATTTGGCTGCAGATTTAAAGCAATGGAGACTTTTACAAAGATAGAGTCAAACACTAATTAATTAACGCACTAAAACCTGTAGTTTTCCATCTTTGAAGCTTTTATTGATGAAACTATATATTTTTTTCATCCTGGGAGTTTAAAGGATTTTAAGGAAAATGATTCTGACGCACCTGGAGATTGCCTTATTTATCTCCATAAATGCATTGGTTTGTCCTGTTTAATGGTACATAACTGGGGCCACCTTGGAAAGAACGCAAGAGCATCACATGGCATCTATAAAAAACAACTGTATCTTGCTTAAATATTCATACCCCTTGAAGTTTCCACTTTTTTTGTGGAATTGCTAAACTAACAGGTGTACCTGGCACAGAGTAGGGGAAAACTGTGGGCCAATTAACGATTTAGTCTGTGCCCAAGTTCAGCAGCTCTTTAAAGGCCTCAGTGATAAAAAAAAAAAGAAGAATTGTATCAGAAAGGTCACAGAGAAAGATGTGAAAAGGTTTAAAAGACTGAGAAGCAAGCAAGCAATCAGGAGGCCTCCGATACCTGGAAAGGAGCTGCAGAGACGTGCAGCTTATATCATGGGGAACCTGCTGACAGGACAAGTAGATCTGATCGAATTCCAACAATCTAGAAAACAATGAGCTACAACTCAAACTCCAACAATTCATGTGTGTTTCAGAGTTGACAGTTCGGAAAGACTCAAGCAAGGAGCTACAGAACCAGAATCACCAAGTGGATAAGGAGCATTCTTTGTGCTCCATCAGATTATCCAAAGTTAGGAGATAATAAGGTCCCTGATTTGGTCTGTTTTCATTTCACCTCCCTAATCCAGAAGAAAAGATTATGTCTAAGAGCTTGTGTGTCAGCAAACAATCAGACAAAACCACAACAGAGAACTAACTGTTCTGCTAAGTAATGAGTGGTCACTATCGTTTGAGCAGCGTTCACAAATCTGTGAACATCTAATCAAAACCAACACGGTTTGTTTCCCAGCAGGGAGGCAGCTTTAGGAAGGGATCCAGAATTACGCTGACTCAGCTGCTTCTTTGACTCATAAGCTGGTACAATGGCTCCAGGCAAAAAACATCAGGCAGGAGGTGCGTTCAGGTTCACAGCTTTAAGGAAACCAACGTGACCAAAACCAGCTTCCTCTCATGGAACAGTGTGGATCCACGCAACCAGCTGGGATGCAAACCAATGATACTCAGCTTAGGCTTCATTTGAGAAACTGCAATAACAGAGCAAGCAGCTGAGAAAGGTATTTGTATAAAAACATTTTAGATTTCTAATTTGACCAAATTTAAGTTCGAATTGGCACCCAAACTGTTCCTATATGTATAGAAATGTTATTAAAATTTAAAATTAAAGCCATTTAAAATGTAGGAAACGACAGAATGAAGACTAGAATGAAACTCCTTTAGGTTTAAGGTCAGCATCCAGTCTACTCGGCTGCAGTCTATCAGCATGCTGCGCCTCATTGGTCCTTCCACCTTGTTAACGTAGAAGGACCAAAGCACCATTCAGGGGATTCTACAGCTTCTAGTTCTTATCTCCAGAGCTTTTTTTTTAATTTCCTGATTGCATCACATGTGATACTGAAAATGAAATCATCTTTACCTCTCTAGCAGACAACAGGAGAGCTTGAACTGCTCATAACAAAAACCTCTGCAGTCTTTGGAAAGAAGTAACCCTGGTGCATGACCCTGCCTCCACTATGTTTCACTGTGCTTATTCTGTGATGTGCAGAACTGCTTTTGTGCCACATGTACCTTATAGAACTGTGCTCCAAAGGTTTGGCTTCATCAGGTCATGACATGTTTTCCAACCTAAAGACAAATATCAGTCCAAGTTTGGATCGACCTTACTCTCACTGCCCAGTTCCAACTTCTTATCTACATTAGTTCTGGATACCTTTATCTTTTATAATGCTGGTGATTATTTCTAACTATTTTAATTTATACAACTGATGACTTAGATCCTTTTTAATAACTGGTAACATTAATAAAAAAACAAAAAACAAATGCTTAAACTGTATGAAAAGTTGCATGTAGAAAATCAAAGGGTTTGCACACTTATAAAACAAGGTTATTACAGCTTTGGATGTTATGTTGTCCCTCCATAAAAATATTTTTCCATAAAACTGTTCAGAATAGGTTGCATAATAAATAATAAAAACCTTTCAGAGTTATATAACCAACTCTGATTTGTTTACCTCCCAGAAACACTGTATGTTAACAGGGTTTTTTGTGTCATTAAAGGATTTTTATATTTTTCAGAATCAAAATGGTGAATTGTATTTTTTTTAACATTCTGAATCAAACCCAAATTTCACCAAAAGTGACCTAACCATTTATTTTTTACCTTAATTTAATCATGCAATTTTTTTCCTGTGTGTGCATTTCTTTCCAGATACATAATTCATCAATAAGATGACATGTAAATAAAAGTGAAAAGAAATTGAAATAAACCCAGCAGCTTAATCAGAGATTGAATAACAGAAGTTAACCAAACCTGATAGGCAAGTTGTTAGAGGGAAGAAACCCGTGGTGCTCTCTGCTGTTCCTCACACACAAATTATATAATCAACAAATTGTGATATAACCAAACAGGTGAGAAAAAGCCATCCTTCTGGTTTAAACTGCCATTATGGAAGTTACCCTGCAAGTATGATTCAACTATCTATTCATCTTCCTTCATTTCAGCTACTGTGGAAATATTAAGATGTTAGTAGTGAGATTGGCTCTAGATTAATATCTTAGAGTCTATATGAGAACCATCACGGAGGGAAAATCCCCTAAAAATGTGAGCTGAGCCCTTCAGGCCAGATCAGGCCAGATCCATGAGAGGACTGCTGCAGGCAGACACGGTCTGGATCGGAGGTCAGCGACCTTTACAACAATGGGAGACATTTTTGCTTTAGGTTCAGCTACAAAACAAAAGAAATTCTTGTAAAGCTACAAAAGCAACATCAAACACATTTGCTTATTATTACAGCAACAATGCATCCGGAGCGTTTTTACAGCACTACACTTTTTCCACATATAGTTTTGTTATACTGTACTACAAAAAATAGAAAACTACATATAACATTATTAAACACCATCTACTTTAAATATTTGTTTTTCTTTTACTTAAAAATATATTGTTTTCTTTGATTCTTTAAAATAAAGACATCTGACTTTTACATTAAGGGAACAAAAACATTTTCTACAGTCGAATGACAGTATGATAAATGATTTCATTTCTGTTCAGAATTTTCCTAACAAAGTAAGAAGTTTCCAAACAAAAGAGGTAATAAAAACAACAGAAAGATCATAATCTTTGCACTATTAGTGTAATTCTTTGCAGAAAAAATACTATTCTGATAATAGAGACGCGTCAATCCAGTTTTTTTAAATCCAATTCGAAACCTGGACTTTGCTAGTTACCAGTAGAGTCCATAAAAGAAGGTTCACAGAAAGGAAAACAGGCCCACAGATTCTTCACCTCATTTAAAGGTGGGCATGAGGCGCCAGTTTAGCCAACTAGAGAGCAAACACTCCATCTGCCTCCACATACTGACAAAATATTCCAGTACAGACCTAATGACCTAAAGATGAAACATTCTGCTGCAGTTCTTCTAAGAGTGAACTTTGAGGATTTTTTCCTTTCTTCTTTCTTTAATTATACTTAAATCAAACTGGAACTTTTAGCCACTAGGGGGCACTAGACCTGTAACTTCCAGGATTAGCCACACTGGAGGCCCCTGGCCACACCACAATAACGCAAACCGAACAGTTTCTGATAAATCTGCTAATCCTAAATTAAATCCTACTCAGGTGAACCAGAAATGGGTTAATTATATTCTTCTAGAAAGCACAAGAAGGGAGATAAGCTTGTAATAGACAAAAAAAAAGGATTGTGTCCTTGGACAAGACACTTTACCTGCATTGTCTACTGATGGTGGTCAGAGGGCCCGGTGGCGCCAGTGTACGGCAGCCCAGCTTCTGTCAGTGAGCCCCAGGGCAGCTGTGGCTACAGTGTAGCTTGCCACCATCAGTGTGTGAGTGTGTGCGTGAATGGGTGAATGAATGTAGTGTAAAGCGCTTTGGTCAAGTCTCCTGACTTGAAAAAGCGCTATATAAGTACAGGCCATTTACCATTTACAATAGTTTTAAAGGGAATGGAAGTGGGACCACATATTTGCCACCATTTCAAACTGAATCCAAATTCAAGGTTAAAAGATGAATATATTTAAAGTGTTTTAGTTTAAACTTTTCAGCACTTTGGGAATCTCACAATAAAATAGGCGCTCCCCACCTACCTCATCTAATAAGGGCAAAGCAGAGGAATTCTATAGCGAGGTTATAGAGTAAATAAAATAGAATGAAAAAATACATCTGTAGGTCTTTATGGGGGAATTATTCTTGACAGGGTACAGAAACAAAAACATCAGAGATCCAAGACGTTCTGTATTCATACTATAAGGATTCTTGAATTCACTTTTTACTTTTAAATTTCATTATAACAAAGACTAAGATCACAAAAGTTTAATGTTTTTAATGTCGTTTTGATTTGATCTCAGCAGCCGTGACGATATAAGCAGTTCTTCCTTCTTCTTTAATTAAAGACAATAAACATATGTTGCTGTAACACTACAGCAATAAACCACAGTAGATTTCTTTAAACATGCTGGGGTGTGTTCATCAGTTTCCCCATAGCGAGGTGAAAACTAAGCATACAACAGATATCTATCAACAAACAGTTCTGTTAAAGCTACAATTAGCCCTGAATTCAAAGCCTGCTGTTTGCTGACATACATTCTAATGTCCGTGGTGAACGTGCAAAGGGTGCGAGACGTGTGAGCACACATCACATCATTCCAGTTTGTTACGCTGCTATCTTACCCTTTGACCTTAACCAGGCTTTTCCAGGGAGCAGCTGAGCAAAGAGACACAAGACAAACAGCCATGATGGTGAAGCTACTGTAGTAAAAGTGACTCCACGGCTCTGTTTAGACACCTCACAAGGAAGGCCTCAGGGTGTTATACAGACAGAGCAGCCTTTATCTCACTAATCAATGTGAAAAATGGATTACTGTATTTGCGTCAGTGTATGGCGAACCGAAACTAACACCATCCAATGAAAGGCCAGCAAAGCAGAGGGTTTCATCTCTGCTGTATGATGGAAGATAAATTAATGAATAAACAAATCTTGTGTTTCAGTTTTCGAATGCTAGTTTCACAAGAAGATTTGCATCAGCAAAGTAGCAGAATGACAAAAAGCAACAAGCTGTGTTTATGGTGCAACACTCCCTCAGGGAAAAGCCTTGTAGCTACGCCACATATACAAAAATTAAACCCTTGATATTGCGAATGGAATGCATGCAACTACAAATATAACATGCAGCCTGAGTTTACACCGAAGCACGAGACAATACAATCGAAAAGTCTTCTCCTGGTTTTTCATTACACCTACCTTGTCTAAGGGAAATCAGAGATCCTTTCCTTTTAAACTGCAGCAGCTAGCTGTCAGATTTTTTTTTAACAACTGTTCAGTCGTGCCAGTAGGCGACACAAAAACCCCTGCGCCTCATTCGGCATGCATGCATTCGGCATGCATTTTCCTGCTTTAGCTCAGAGGAGGGGGAGAGTTAGTGTAAAATATCAACTGACCCTTTATTAGCAGGGGAAGGTCAGAGCGGAGGGAAACCAGACCTGTTGTGCCATCTGCTGGATGGAATCAGACGGTTGGCAGCAGCAGGGAAGCCTGGAGAGGGAAGAGATAAGAGTCCTTATTCAGAGCTCTGAGCAAAAACACGGCTTGGTTATGATCGAACACAAATACAAGGCGTTATATTTCACTGCAGCTGCTCACCATTGGCAGAAACAGACTGAACCATTTGGAGATGAGATGATTTAGTGGATAAAAACTGCAAAAAGTGCAACAATATGTTTTTTGGTGAATTTCATCAATGGATTAAAAGATTTATTACCAAAAAAAAAGCTAAGAAAAATAAAGTTTTTAAACTGTAACTGTCAAATTACCCCCTACTTTTTCCCACTAAATAAAATTAACTAAAAATAAAAATTAAACAGTCAAAAAATATAAAAACATGGTGGTGGCAACATGATGCTGAGGGGATCCAGCTATAGATGACGGGAAGGTAGTTAGCTTGTTAGGGAGCAAACTTTTTTCAGACTAAAGACAACTTAAAACACTCGTCTTATTACTCAAAACGGGGTTAAAA